CCTGGGATGACAACCAGCTGCAACTGCTTACCACTGCAATGGGCAGTGAAAATTAAAATTGTACAGACTGTATCATTGCCATTCTTTGACCTCTTAAAGGCTCTAAGATTGGGCTGCTGCTCAAGCTCACTTTTGCTAGGCTTTCTGGACCTTTACAAGGGTCTTATGAAATCCACTGACCTTCTTCCAGATGAGAGGCAAAACAGAGGAGAACCCTTCTCTCCTTGCTTCAAAAATTGTTCATTTGGCCCACCTTTGCAGACCTCCTCAGTTCTCCAGATTTTTTAACTACACTGCACAATTCTTCTAACTCTGACACAACTACAAGTATTTCACGGTATTATTGTAACCGTGCACATAGTATGCCATCATACAACTTTCCAGTGTGATACGGTGGTCATTGTAGGTGCAGAGGTAGACAGCTCTTAGAACCAGAGGAAGACTTACCTTCGTTGGGTTTTGCTGTGTTACTCGGCTGCCACCCCCATGGCAGAAGAGAGTAGGACTCCAGGGCAGATGCTCTGTGTGGCATGAAAGCCCCCTGGGATGCGAAACACAGCAAATATTCAGGAGGTTTGTTTTCCAGGCTGAGCAGTTTTTATCCATCAAGAAGGGGGAATCACCCCTACATAGGGTAGAGCAGTTGTCCCCATGCAGGTTAGTCCTATGCTGGCCTCAGAGCAAACCGCTCCTACCTGCTGCCTCTCACCTTCACCCAGCTCCCACAGGAACGGCTCATCACAGGCCTCTCTAACCACTTCAGTTAAAATCCACGGAGCCCATTGAGCAGCTTAAATTGCAGGTCTTTGCCAGTAAAGCTTCTTTTGATTGACAGGAATGGAGGAGCCCTTGCCTGAGTAGTTCAGCAAGATGGTCTGAAGGGACAACATCTGGAGTGCAGCAGCCTCTTCTTGTGGCTCTTCCAGCTGTAAGGCAGCTATCCTTAGCTCTATACCTTCCCATTTGCAAATCATCTTAAAGTTATCGTCACTCTAGCCTCTTGTGACAACCTCCCAGCAGGGCTGATGAATGGAAGAAGAGCCTTTCAGTGCAAAGTTAGCTGCTTGTATGGAGCAACATGTGGCTTGAAGTAATCCAGCTAACTGGAACAGGTTAGGAGATATTCCCCAGGTCTCCTTCTGGGCTACACTGTGCGGAGCAATGATCTTTAATGAAGGGACAATGATGAACAGCTGGGAACATAAATTCTTCAGCTTGTACAGCTGGATCTGGGAAAGGATGTCTGGCTGTAAAGTATCTTTAAACATCATTATAGAGCTGTGTCAACAGTTTGGGCTTGTACTGTTTTAATTATTCCAGTTAAAATTCTCCCTACCTGTATATTAATACTGCCACAAACACTTCGTAGGTCAGGCTTAAGACTACTTAAGGTGCAGGCACTTAGAGGATTAAGTACTGCCTATTTGTAAAGCACTTTCAACAGACATCACGCTGTAGGTACCAAGTGCTATTTCTGTGTGAAATAGCCAGGTTTGGCTTAGCGGTTCCCAGGGTTTGCAACTGGAAAGACAGGACAAGCCTCAGTGGCATTACAGATCGCTCGCAGCCCATCATGGGTTCTGCCTTCCCCACTGCAGACCAGCTGAGAGGAGGGAGAGGAAACTGCACCAGCAGAGATGCCCGATGACAGGGAAAAGCATTTGCTGTCCTCAGTAAGAGGATCAAGTGCCGATAAGCAGACTCCAGAGGATATGAAGATAGATTTACTCCCCCCCTCTCCCACAGGGACTTCTCATGGTTGCTCCAGGCTCCTCTTAGACTGTGCTGTGATGATAAGGCACAGCTGAGGCCCCATTAACCTCATCCCTGCTTCTGAAATGCTGGTACCAGCAAGTCCCACCAACCAGAGATGGACGAGCAGCTCTGAACAGGGTCAGGCTCCTGACCCTCTATGTGGGTCTGCATCCACCTCGCAAGTGCAGTGAGGGTTTGTGGAACTGAATGACTGGAAGTAAAATATTCCAGTTAGGAACAATAAGTATGTGTGATAGGCATGAAGGCACAGAACCCAGACTTCATTAAGGTAGTTTTTATATTTTTAAAAGCAATATTAAAAAACACTGGAAAATGCAAGATAATTGTAACAGTTGCTTCTACAAGTTTTAACCTTGCATTGCTTGGCCATTTTGACATATAAATTATTGCTTACTAGCTCTCATAAATACACGACACATAATATGTACAGAGGCAGACAAGCATGAAATATGAAAAGGAAAACATTGGCAACATTGATTCTGGTAAATCTGATTATTTCATACATACCAGGTCTCATAACGGTGGATAACTACTAGCTGTAGTCCCTGAGAAGTTAGGTAAATACCTTGATTTGGGGTTTTCTATTTTATTACTTTTAATGCAAGCTGACAGCATTATGGCACTCAGAGAGAATGAACAGGCAGGTGTTCTTACCTCAGCTCATTGACTTCATCCCAGTATTTAACAGTGTATAAGATGACAATAAATAGGCTATGCAAATAAATATTGATCTGCTAAAATGTTTAGTATTTACATCTTTCTTTGTAATTTTACAGCAGCACATCGTATTATTTCTGATAACACCTTTTTTTTTGCCACTGTCATGCAAATGCAATTTACTTCTATCTGAGATGGGGCTAGAATCAAAAAGCTGTGTCATAGAAACATCTAAATTTGATGCAACAAAAATCCCACATCAGAGGTATAAAGTGACCCAGCTTTTTTCCTTTGTTCTAATTACTTCTCCTAGCTACTAAAGAAAATATGCAGAGTATTTAAACCTGGGTGCAATTGTGATAAACTGAACTTATAAGATTCATGGATATTATCCTATGTAACATAATTGCACTATTGAAGGATTTAAAAAAAATAAAAATCACACAATATCACCAGTGCTGGACCCTAGTAGAGGCTGTATAGTGTCCCATTTTCCTTTTCACAGGGTTTACTTCTAGTTCTCCTCCCAACCACCACACCTTCAAACTGCTTGCCAGTGTGCAGCCTAGCTCTGCAATACTTCACCTGTTGAACAAAGACTCTGAAGGCCCTTTTTTTAATTAGACTTACTAGCTACAGATTTGGGTTATTTGCCTTTCCTTTATGGTAACAGTTATAAGGTCCATATTTTCAATGTGAAATTGATACACCCACCTTGGTCCCTCAGACCAGAAATTTATATCCAAGTTATGCAGACCACTATGAAAACTAGTTTGCAAAGTTTTAAAGAGTAGTCTAATTAACCACAACACAGCTAATGAGGTTAATGCTGGCTATGTGCCTTCAAACTGATTTTAAGCAAGCTACAAAGGGTAGGCAACACCTCATTTAGTATAAAGTTACAGCAGTGCAGATAGCCAACACCTCAGCTGGCTTGAAGTCTACCGGTACAAGTTAACCCATTCATTACCTTCAACCATTTTGAATGGGCAGAGTGAGGAGCCTTCAAGATGGCTCTAGCATGCTTTCGAATCAAAGCCTGAGCACAGTCATCTTTCTTCTTTTTTTTTCTTTCTTTCTTTTTTTCCTTCTTTCATTTCCTTATCTTTTATTCTTCTCTGGCACCACTGCTGCTTCATCAGCAGTAACTACCAAAACTATCACAGAGCCAAATGCAGTGAACTGAGAAACAGCCCTACTTTCTCACCCTGAATACCTTCTAATGCTCCCTCTCCCACGGATTTCAACAGAACAACTTGTGGACTAGAGTGTTACACCACATGAGCTAAAGCATGCAGGCTGGTCTACATACAGGCTCCTAAAAATAATGCCAGTAAAAAAAGATTTCACAAGGGGGAGCTCAAAACCCAGCAAACCACCCAGGTAGTGCAGCTAGGGTGGGAATTCAGGGAGTGCTGTAGCTAGGCGAAGAACTGCAATAACACAAGCAGCAAATTGTATCTGGTTTGTGTTCTTACACTGCAGAAAGGAGCCCGCCGCAGCCAGTATCCTCATCTGAACAGTTTTGGTCTGTTTGCACAAAAGAGTTATTTACAATATGTGCAGTCACATCTACAGAAAAACATAGGAAATTTTTACTCCATGGCCAGCAAGAGTTTATTTTTTTTTTTCTTTTTACTGGGTAAAAAGAAGATTTTTTTTCTAAAAAAAAAAAAAAAATCATATAGTATTTGATAATAACAAAGTACAAGCAAATACATTTCTGAAACATCTGTTTCCTTTACAATAGATCTATACAATATTTCACAGATGGGAAAACCAAATGCATTCTACAGATTCCCCCACAGACTACTTGTTAAAGCTGCTTTTTTTAATCCCTTTAAACCAGAGATAACACAATGATGAAGAGCATGCTACTTCAGTATTCCCACATTTCAGTAAAGGAGCATTTTCTTGGAAGTCTTCCTCATGTGGAAAACATACAATAGAGATGGGCGAGCAATGCAATGTATCCTCCCTGCTCTGTAAAGGGACTGTCACTGTGAGTCAGTATACAAACACATGGCAGACAGAGTAGCACACTGCACATTGCCTGTGGCATTCACTAGATTATTTCACGGCAAGTTCTTAGCACTGAAAACCAGAGCTACGGTGACGGTGGTGCTTAGGTGTAGGTCAACTGTAGACAAGACTTTAGAAATGCTGCCTCAGTATGTGCCCAGAAGTAGTACTTTCAGCTACATGAAAAATGGCTAGGGGAGGGGTGTGAGAGGGGCAGAAGCAGTAAAGGGACTCTGATACTGAGAGCCCGGTGCGTATGCAGGTAACTACACTGGTACCCTGTAAGGTGTACCCTTTTGTTCTTTAAAAACTAGAAATGTGTGCAAGTTAGGTGGAATTTTACCTGCTGAAAAGAGGAGTTCCAGGAGGCGAGTTAGGAATGTAGGTGATCTAGGCATTGCCTCAGAATAGACACCAAGGAGGTTGTAATCCAAGCAGAAAACAAAGCTCCTGCTATAATAATTTATAACACGTTAACTGCAGGAGCTGGTACTGTATCTGAGATAACTGAAAAGGAAGAAATTAACATGTTTTCAGCGTACAAACAATTGTGTCCATAAACTGCAACCAAAGTGGATTGGCTCTTACAGTGTGTTTTAGAAAGCAGATTCTTAAGGGGCCATAACAGTGTTTGCTGCTGACCTCCACATCACGATGCACTCTTGAGTTTCATCTGGTGTGCTGTCTCTTTATGTTCCATTCTTGGTTGTCCACACTTATCTCAAATAAGATGCTCCAGTAGACTCAGGGGAGCTGCACAGATTGCACAGTATTTTTTGGCAACAATACTTTGGCAGCCTTGAATCAGTGAGGTACATACTGTGGTGAGCCGAGAATCAAGCCCCTTGCGGCACGTTGCTTGCTGAAACGTTTTCTGCTGCAACACGACCATTTCTTTCATTCTAATACTGCCAGAATCTGCATTGAAAGCTACACTGGACCAAACAATATTTTCACAGAAACCAAGCTCCTGAGCTCAAAGGACGCTGCTCCGCTCCCTCCGGTCCTGGTGACCAGTGGGGATGGCACGAAGCTTGCCCTGCAACTCTGTGAGCAGCTCCTTTGCTGGCTCTCGCCTGATTTTCCTGCGCATGTTGTGTGAGCTACTGATAAAACTCAGTAAACTGTTCTTATATAGGGAAGCAACATGCTTGGCATAAACATTCACTTAATTCAAAGTGCTGCAGTTACAAGGTTGTATGAAGCTGTGTACGCTCACACTCGCGGCTCTATCCTGTGAGAAAGCTCAAACAGAGCTTGCTGGTTGTCGATGACATGCAGGTGATGGACGTATGGCTTCAGCTCATGATGCTCTTTCGAAGGAACTTCATTGCCTGCAAGACAAGAAACAGGGCATGGATCAGAAAGCCATGCCGTGCCTGCTTCCCTGTCCTGTGCGTTACAAAGTCCCTGGCATGCCAACCTGGCAGGTGCTAGACAGTCACAAGGAAGACGGCCAGTGATCCGAAGGACTTGCTGTTTAAGTGCAATGCATGAGGTAACAGCCAGATGCAGAAAAGGGGAGAAGAAAGAAAAGAAGTAGGCAATGCTGGGCAGCCAGCGTGCACAGAGGGACAAGTGTCAGCAAGAAGCTGGCTCTTCCCAAGTGGAAGATTTACTCCTGCTGGCAGTTCAGGCAGCCCGTCCCCCGCAAGGGTGGTTCAAAGTTCCCTTTGTGCCACTCTGGCAGTACGTTGGGACCTTGAGCAGGGGTGGGCGACTGAGCCCGTAACTTTTAAACAACCTTAATACAAGTACACAAGGCAGCAGGCCCCAGATAATTTCCTTCAGAGCAGGTGAAAGGTGACGGCGCAGCAGACAGATACAAAAGCTCTTCAAAGCTGCTCTGACAGGCCCCCGCGTTTTGATCTGTTATGCTTTTGATTTCTGATCTAGTAACAGAGACAAGAGTCATGCTGTCATTTCATGGGAGTTTATACGGCAAGAGGAATTAGCTGTGTAACAGACAAATTGAAGGGTGGCTTGAATAGCAGATATTTTCTGTTACAAGCTTTACGCCTGACATTGGCTTGTGGGAACTTGCCGCCTGTGAAACCCTCCAGCATGGCTGGTGACTAGCAGAAGTGGAAAAGGAAAAGCTAAGCCCACAGCCACAAGACCCATCAAGACAGGCAGAGAAAGCAACGAGATACGTTTCCCACACGTTGCTGACTGCTGACAAACGAGCAAAGGTTGGAGAGCTCCGTTCTAGTCCATGTCCTCAAGGAATTTTTAATAACATTACCATAAATTAAAAAAGAATACCCCTCAAAATTCCCCAAACCAATCAGCTTAATTCGCATGCTCCCTCCCTCTCCTTTGTTTCATTATCATCCTTTTCTCCACGCTCTCCAGCTACATGAGAAGCTTTCCAGGAACCGACCATCCCACTTGTTTCTAAAGAGCGCTGTATGATGCTGTGTAGGTAACGTGGGATGTCAATGCAGCCAGTTCTGCATGCAGCTGCTAACAGGGTTCCCGGGCAGCTATTTTTAGGAGCCATTTCTGAGCAGCTATCTGACTTGAGAAATGTGGGAGAGAACAGGACAACGTGATAAATTTGTGTCGGGATACAGAGATGACCTTTTTGTTCTGAGGGAATAGGATCCCAGCAGCTGTGCTGAGCGTAATGAAAAACATTTGTATTTCTCATTAACACCTGAAATGACAAAAGCTTGAATTATGTTATTTTTTCAGGCTGCTTTGCCTGGTTTTGGAAATGTTTGTTTCCAGGATTTGTTTTCAGGATTTAGGATATAAAAGTATTATTTCCATTAAAAAGGCATTTCAGTCTTACTTGGAACCTAACCAGTTTCTAACCCAAGACTTTGGCCTGCAAGCTTAATATACATGATACAGTTCATAAACAGTAATAATATTCCTTGCTTACTTTTGTTTGAATTCTTTCCTACAGTGAGATGCCTGCTGCTCTTAGGCCAATCTGGGAATTGATGCAGTAGAAAGATTCACATTCCTGAGAGCAAAATAAGCCCACTAGAAAAGGAAACTGTCCATAAAGTCTCAATAAATATTCAGTGAATTCATTTCATGCCTAAACGAATTTAAGAAAAAAAAAAAAATGCCTACAGGGATGTCTGTATAAGCTGCTTTTTAAATGCCAGCTTCACAATAAATCAAGTCTGTGGTAAAATAAAATAACAATCAGGTACTTCAGACTACCAGATTATATGATAAATCACAGGTATTAACCTTGGATTTATGTTGCAACACTTACAAAACCACTTGGAAAAAAAAAAGGCAAAAACAAGATGAAAGATTTGCAGAGAAGCTGCAAAAAAATTTCACATCATTAAAAGGAACCAATGCTACGTTTTGTAATACCAAGTAAGAGCCATTCTAATTTACAGAGGCACGGTTTGGATTAATCAGTATTTCCTTCAGTATCTGGTTTAACAGAATAAAACCAAAAGGCACGTCCTTCTCCCTCTTCCCCTCTCCCTCTCTTACGTATAACTTTCTCAAAATAACACAAGAACCATAATACTGAGCAGCCTTTGTGTAAAAAAAAGACTGTACATACACATGGTAATTCTATAGAACAAATGTTCAGCAAAGCTCTTAACACTACCTATCATTCTCCAAGGTACATGTATTTATACATAAAATTATTATTATTATTCTTTTTGTAGGAGTCCATGCTGACAGCTGCTGAATATTCAGCTGGAAAAAAAAAAAAAATTCAAACTCTTTTTTTCCCCAAGGCTGCAGCACAATTCTGAACTTCTCTTTGGAAAAGAGGTTTTAGTGGCCTCAATAAATGACATGTTTAGTGGGTTTGGCTTAAAAACTAACCACTTCCTAAAGTAGTGTTGTGTTTGTCCCTTTCCTGTGTTTAACCTCTCTGCAGAAAATAAGAAATGCTGAGAAGGAGAAAAACAAGGTTTCTCCTCTGTGAGCAACAGAACAAAGAGACCTGGAGTATTCTGGCACAGTCCCTTAGGGTTGGATTCTCTGGTGGCTAATAAGGTGGAAACAAAAAAAACCAAAAAAAAGTCTTTTGTGCAGCTGAGGCACTCATGACCATTCCCATCAGTGTAGATCCTCCAGTGCCTAAATCAGGCAGAGCTCTATTTGCAGACTTCCCCTAGCTGAGGTACTAATACAACACCCTCTTTTCTACCTAGTCAACTACTTTCATGAAACCCAAAGGATCTTATTATCTGCAAGACTTCCGCCATTTTGTGAAATGTCCTTAAGAACCCAAGCTAAGCAAACAATTGCTCTTGGTGAAAAGCCAACTGAAGAGCTGTGGTGATGAATACCATCTTACAGCTACTGGAAGCCAAGACAGCTGTGAATCCGTTACCAAAACACACAGACTAGCGGGAGACTGAGGTAACTCAGTTGTAGCTGGGAAAGTGAGAAACAGCAGTGTACATCAGGGGCCTCCATTATTAAGCACAGCTGGCACAGATCTTAGACAGTATTTTGAAGAGGTGATATTTTCTGCAGGAAAATAATTTACAAAAAATTTGGAAGCTGTTTCTACAAATATTTTGTGAAGTAAAACTTCATCCAACTGTGGGTTTTGCTGGGTTGACCTTCCAACAATGATGCCCCTTCTTGCCAATTGGTTAAATAATTGTCAACCACGTTTTGCTGCCGTAGTAAACCTGAGCAAGTGGAAAGAAAGCAGAAAAAAACCCCAAACCCTCAAGGCTATACAATGGCAAAATAAGTGGCAAATTTTGGCTACTTACCAAACTGGTTATTTCTGCAATGTCTCAATGACCGAACAGTATCTGCAATCATGTGCTGCAAAGACAAGATATAAAACATCAGTGCAAAAATCTGAGATGGATTCTGTCATTAGAAAAGCCTGAAAAAAAATCTCCTTGCCCTACACTGTACAGCAAAAAGCAACTGTAGTAAGGTATGAAATGAAGACAGCAGGAGAGAGACTTTGCTCTTTGTCTTAGTGATAATATATGATGAAACAGGGTTAATCTAGAAGGTCCTTACTGATATCACACAGATTAAATGAGGACAACTCCCTAAGAACCCACGGGAAGTGCTAATGAAAAATAGCCAAAGAGTTGCTTATTTTTGTTCCTGTGATTTTTATTAAACTGAAAGCCTACAGTAGGGAAGTCCTGTGGACTGGGTGGTGCTTCTGGGTTCAAGCCCCAGTTCTAGTGCATTATCCAGTACATTTGGTAGCCTGCAACCTCTTCTTCTGTCTCCGTGTGTTGTCTAATTAGACTATAAGCCCCTTTGTGGCACAGACTACACGTTAATGTATACTTGTATAATGCCTAGCACAATCAGGCACCAGTATCAGCTAGGCAGTTTTCTGCAGAACAATAACCAACACAAAAAACCCAGCCCATAGCCTAAATGCTGCAGAGCAAGGACCCTGACATCTCTGCAGACACGTACCAAATAAGACTATACTTTAGGTATACCACTTTAAGAAAAGCTGGTGCTAAGAGGGATATTGGATGTTCACTTAGATTAAGCAGAGGAAATAAAAGGTTTAAGTTTGGTTTCTCATTCAGGCTCAGGTCTTCAACTTATGAAAACTGGAATTGTTCACTATAAATCAGTAGAGTGTGCTCATTTTCACTAGATGTCGCCCATAAAGTTCTCGAGGCATTACTTTTTTTTCTTTATTTGACTGCTTCTGTGGCAACTCTTCACCAAATCTAGGAACTAATTTAAACAGATTGCAGTTAGCAGGAATGATATAATAGCTCATACAAACAGCTGATGCTCTTCTCACATCTCCCTCAAAAATAATCAGAGGCAGAAAGGATTAACTGTCTTGAGCAGAGTATGTTTAAAACCAGAACGATGCAGAACAGCTCATCTCTTAACACCCTGGCAGTGGCTTACAAGGCTCCTCCATAGAAAAGCTTATCAGAAGAGCAAGTTTAATGGAAACTTCATATTCCTTTCATCAGTGAATCAAAATATTTTTTCTTGTTACCTGCTGTGTTTCATTTGCCATGAAATGATGCAATCTCTTGTGCTGATGTCCTTGCACTGATTATAATGAAGTTCTAATGAGGTGATCTAGACTTCATGATCAATAGTGTGAGTACTGGGAGAGCTACAGCTTCCATCAGTGCTGCTGCTGTGATGTTTTCCAGCTAATACCCTTTGCATTTGGCTTTTAGAAGAGAGACCGCACTATCACACATGCTGTCATTCTTTGCTGTTTCTCCTTTGTAGTCAGTCAGCGTGGGGGTCCACCCCAAGACTGACATCTGAAGATGATGCTCTGGTAACGGAAGAACCTCTTTGTGTAACACTCTCTTAAAGCAGAATCCCAAATCTCCTGGCTTTAGTAGCCTAATTAGGCATTTCTCTCTGTCTAATTTCAACTATCTTGAATCCAACTGTAACACTGAAAATCAGCCAATTCATCTGCAAAGCAAATACTGTTTCCTGACTCTGTAAACAGGTGCTTGCATACCATTAGTGCGATGAGTAACACACATTTCTTGTGGCCTTTCAGCCTATCAGCTACCTAGGATCATTAGCACTCCTTTAACTGAGGATAGCAAAAACTCAGGTTTGGGAGTTGTACAGATATTTGGGGGTTGAGAACCTTCAGCTGCCATGTACACAGTCCTTACAGCTGAAGGCACTAGGTAACGAGGTGTTATTTAAAACAGTAATGGCCATTGACCTGTATTAAGAGTTTGCTGGAGTGTGGCTGAGATGTCATTGCTAAGATATGAGCGATGGCTGACTGGAGAAAAAAAAAACTGAAGAAGCCACATTTCAGTGAAGCAGCTCAGTAAATACCATGAAAATACCTTGAGATGCAACAGTATAAGATCGTATTTTCATATATTCCTTCAGGTTTAGTTCAGGAAGTGGGTATGGTACTAAATATCGATCTAACACTATTCTAGACTAGAGTTTACCCAACATGGAGTTAAATAAACCACTGCAATCCCTTCAACTTTTGCTAAAACTAGGTAACATTCCTGAGACAAAAGATTGTTTCATTTTTTTCGCTTTGCAAATTCCCTTCTTTATATTTTGAATTAACTTTGTCTTCACTGCAATCATGTCATGTCAAATCAAGTTCAGTCACGGTAGGATTGTTGAGGCCATGATAGTCTAAGAATATAAAAGAAGCAGGGATTGTAGGGAAAGAGAATATCTGTTATTAAACCAACTAATATAGTTGGAAAAAACAATGGTTCAGACTGACAAGTCGTCCTTCAGGTGAGATGTCTAATGCAGAAATGAAATATTTCAAAATACTGATCCAAATGGAGACAAGAGAAACCATCTTTGCTTTGAAATTTGTAAGTAGAAACTCAATGCATTTATGACAGTGAGTAAGTTCCTTCCCCAAAGCAGTAATCTGCTATGGTAGAATAATTCTTTTCTTCTTTTTCTGCAACAGCAAATTTGCAGGTGAGGGTCAGTGGCTTGATCCAAACCAAGCAGGAGTCAATGTCACTCCTAATTTTTCTCAGCAGAGGCCAGAAAGTGCTCAGCACAGAACAGAACACTAAGGAAGATGTTCTTCCTTGGGACAAAGCCCCTATAATTAGACAAGAAACATGAACTGATGTATACATGATCATGTGTGATACATCTTGTTGGTAAGTTCATGCCCATTGACTGAATACCTTAGCATCCAAATGAACCAGGGTAATATGTGTACTGCCTGGCTTTCCACTACAAGCATATTTAAATCTCTTCTAAGCCCCCACTTCCTAAGCTTGCACTATTGCCTGCATTCATATGTACACAGGGCTCCATGAGACAGCATGTTCCTGAGGGTGTGATCCGACTAATAATTTGGAGGAAGTGTCAGTTTGAACAATCCTCACCCCACCACCATCACCTCAGACTCTCCCCCCTGCCATTTAAAATGCCCATTATCCATTTGCATAGAAAAGGTGAAATCCTGGCTCACTGAAGTCAATTAGCAAAGCTCCCATTGCCTCTGGAGACACAATGGTGACAGAAAGGATAGGAAATCTTACCCAGCAAGCCCAGCATACATTAAATATATACATGATTAAACAACAAACAAACAAACAAGGTCTGGCTAAGACTGGAACAAAAATCAGATCCTACATATTCACTAGATAAATATATGGGCCAGTGGGGGGATTTTAGTAACAATTATTGTGCATCAAGGGCTAGTTTAATTTACATGTTAATTGGATGTACTTCCAAAAGGCAATGAAGAAGAACATGGTAATGAGTTTTATGCAAACACCTAAAGGTCAAACAGTTAATGGACTTGGGACAAGAAAACCTTTCATTAAATGCAAATCAGTGTTCTTGTAAACTCTCCAACAAGAAAAGGTACAGAAATCAAACAGAAAACAAAAAGAGGAGCTCAGGTTCAAAAGTCAGTCTACATCTGCTTGCAAGTTGAAAGACAATGTACATTATGATATGATGTGAAATAAGTTCAACATCTGGTTCATGAATAACTCCATGGTTGCGTGTTCATTCTCAAACAAGTGTAAACACATGGACAAAATAGTTGGGAACAATTCACCAGGCACAGCCATCTGGACTAACAGTCCCATGGCACATCTAGACCAATTGGGAAGAATATTTTGGTTTCTTCATAAAATCCCCCAATCCAACAAAAAAAAAACAAAAAAAAAAAAAAAATCAAAGTTTCTCCATTCCACCACTGTTCAGATATATGAACTGTGGCTTTCAGTGCTACGAAAATGTTATCAACAAAGAAATGAAATATGCAAATTAGAGAAATCAAACCTCTATCAGTAATACTATGCCAGTGTAGATGTCATATGATGTCTAGAGTAGATGTGACCGAAGATACAATGTCAGTAAGTGCCCTTCTACATAAAAGTTAGTATAGTGGTATTTACAGTCAGTTTAGTTCATATTTCAGGCATTATTTTCTTCATCATCTAACCTAGATCAAAAATTTTACTTTCATTTAAGATCCATGGAATTAGCATACCAGTGGCAAATGGTAAACTAGAGAAACCTTTTTTTTAGTGCCTTGATAAAAAAAAGGAAATATAATTCAGAGAAAGCTGAAGGAGGAGAACTTGACTGAGGAGAAATAGTCCACGAGGTGGTGCAAAGTAATAGTTCTCACCGGGAAAAAAAAAAAGAGTGGACTGTGTGACAATGATGCTGGCCATTACTGGCTTAGCCATTTTACACAGAAGTGAAGGAGGAAGGAATGAGAAGAGAGAGGAGCAGAGGAAAGGGGCAGGGGTTATAGACTGTTGGCTGACTGTTTTATCCTGCTTGCTCTTTTTTACCCCTGTTTATTTCTTCCTGATTCAGCCAGAAGAATACCTTTTAGTCTTACAAGATAAGGAAGGGAAAGGGAAGAAGAGAACACGAATCTCTTTGAAAAACAGGAAGGACAAAATTAGCTTACCAGCTTTTCAAAATTAACAAGGTTATCCAGAAAAGTTTTATTTCCTTCATGGATGAATGTTACATCTGAAAAAATAAAGGAAAAATAATTATTTTTCATGGCTTTGTTGTTTAATAGAAAGAAATAAAATTACTAAACAGCAACAAAAAGAAAAAAAAAAAAGAGGAAAATATCCCATTAAGGATTGACACAATACCTTATAAAAGTGGAACAAAAGCCTGATATAATGATGACATGCAGAGATTATTAGATAACAACACTACGTACACATTGTAACAAGAGAATTTTCAAGTGGGAGCGCGGATTTCTTATTAAACCTGGTCTGTGTTACTTCTGGGGTGCGTATCATAGAGAGGATGGCTGGGAGCAGGCGGGGGCATCCAGAGGGATGGCCGTGCACGGCATGCTTGCTCTCCACACCCTGCAGCACCGATCCAGCCACGCTGCCCATGGCTGTGCCTGGGCTGGGGCTGGCCGGTCCCTGAGCCCAGAGCTCCATGGGGGCAGAGCTACCAGATGCTGGAGTTGGCTCTGACACCCTTTCGTCTCTCTCTGTGGAACACGATGACTCTGAAGTCCTTCCCAGAGACATGGGCTACGGCAGTGGCCAGCCGGGGAGGTTAAACAGAAGCCACCAAACTGAAGTTCAAAGCCTTGGAATAAGCATTATGGCTAGGGAAAAAAACCACTTACGCAGTGTTGTTGGAGAGAATTTGCAAAGGCAACAAAAAGGTCAGTGAGGTGAAAAGGAAGAGGTCTATACTTGGCTCCAGGAAGGGAACTGAACACAGTGTAATGAACTGAAGGGTGGGGAATATCAGGCAAAACAAATGTTCCTCAGTTAATTTTTCTGATGCATATTAGGACACAAAGTGAGACCTATCTCGGACACGAAATACCAAGGACATGGATAGATTCCCTGTGGGGACTGAATGTCTGACTCCGATGGTGCATCCTCCGCGTTACTGAAAATACTAGCAGGAGCACCACCACCATACCCCTTACCAGCTCTCTCCTGGACGTGTGGGTACCCAGGAGTACCAGGAGACAGCGTTATATTGTAATGAGATGGCACTCCAGTACCCTTGCTTCTTAAAAGTCACAGCTGCGCTTGCCAGCAGGCAAATGGCACACAGTGAACGGGCAACGTCTCCCTCTCAGCAGCGGTGCCAACCTCCAACACACCAGTCTAACTGCGCACCTCGGCAATTCTCCTGTGCTCATCTCTAGGGCTCCCTCTGATGCCCACTTGGTCCCCCTCGTTTTGGGGGATTTTAGGACTGGGAACCTGCAGCTGATGCTGGGGGACGCTTTGTCACACACACAGCCCCGCCTTCATCCCAACCCCCAAAAGAGCCAACCTGATTTATTTCCTTTTGTTTCAAAGACTCACTCTGTGCCCGGGGGGCATTCTGTAGTTGCTCAGAATGGAAATGTTAATGGCTTCATATGCTGGTGGAAACCCAGGGCTGGGACTGACTAGGCAGAGCTCTGCAGGAAGGGCGATGGAGCGCTCCCGTGCCCCCTGGGGCGGCTGGGCTGGGGTCTGCCTCGGGCGGGCAGGATGGCAACCCAGCTACAGCCAGTCCAGCCAGCGCTCCCGAGCAAGTGGGGCAGGCACGGCATATGCTGGGGATGCCTCCGGCACCCCTCTGCCCCCGGGCAGGATCCTAAAAATCAGGGGGAAAGTTGGGAGCGGGCCCTCTACACCTCCTCTGCTGGGCTGCTTTGGCGGACCCAGGGAAAGGGACAAGGAAAGGACACGGCTTCAGGACACAGGCATTACTTGTCTCTGTATCAGCGCAGTTAAAAACTGTCTGTCACTTCTAAAGAAAAAACTTATACTGGAAGCAGCAATTTCCAGACAGCTTTTTAAGTCAATGACAGCAACGTGTATATCTCTGAGGGTGGAAGGAACAGAAATTTGCTTTGCAGCCAACAACTAAGAGTCCAGATAAGTTCAGTGGAGCAGAAAATTGCATCTGAGCTAGGCTGTAAGGGTACCTCACAGTATTTTATTACATATTTGAAAAATCTGCCTGATTTTCAAAAGCTGTGTCTGTGTGCTGTAAGAGAGCTCCGCATTTAAATTTAATTAACTTTAAAAGGACACTCAAATTATTTTTCTTAACTAAAGAAAGGTTATTAATGAATTTCATTTTTTACTTGCAACTACTTTTTTTCCTCTTGTGTTGAAATACAGTAATTTGTTGAGTTACTAATGATTTCTATGCTATCCATGCTTATTTTATTGGTGTTGGAAATAACGTTAATACAAACATGCTTGACATGGAGTAAAGTCCTACGTACTGTGCAATACTTTGGGAATTACCAACCTTGGCAACATCTCCTTATGGATCACGATATTGAAGAAAATTACTGTATTAATTTGCAAAGTCTCCTTGCTATCTCCAATGCACTTGAGACATGAATGCTGCTTACATGCATGTTCTTATATAACCATATTGTAGTGCTGCTTCAACATCATTGCTACAAGCTACTTGCTTATGTTTGCTGCCTTTGTTTGCAGGCAAGACATACTCAAGAACACTTAAAAAATATTGATTTTGAAGCCTTGATAATTGTATCCATCTGAATTAATGCAAACTCCTTTGATGTGTGCAAAGAGGGGAAGTGCCTGATGGCTCCTGAACTGTCACTGACTGATCTGGAGGACTGCCTTCAAACATTTTAAACTTGCAGCAGCAGCAGGTTGGAATAAACAGCCTGAAGAGAACACTTCTGGAATACAGGAATAATCAAATGAATTTGCCATGTTCAAACACAAGGCAATTAATAATTAAGGACTCCAAGACAACGGAATATTTGAAATACCTGCCACTTAATTAGCTGCCCAGGTCACTGCGTTAAGCAAGTAGTTGTATTTTATTTTAATAGATTTTTAAAAAATAGTTATTTTAATAGTAAGATTTTATTTCTCTCCTTCAGACCCGTAAGAGACTTGCGGATCCCCTCCTCCCAGGACAGACAGGCAGGTTCTGCCTTCAGGGTGACACCAGGTAGGTGCACCCCGGCGAGGCAGGGCAAGCACCTCAGAACAGGCATCTCAGACCAGCAGCGTGACCGAGGCCGCTGGTGCGGGTGCCCCCAGCGCAGCCGGGCCGACGCGTTCAGGGGCTTGCAAGGTCTCGTTTCTCCACCGAAGAGGATGTGGCCAAAGCAACCGTACGCTGCTCTACCGGCGCCTGACGGGCAGGTGCTGAAGTTTGAAAACCTGTGTGAAAACTGCCGTCTGCTCCCGTCTTAAAAGGCAGCTGTTCATTATCCAGACCAAGTGCTACCTTGTAGATACCACTACATCTGCCACGTACATATCATAAGGCCACCTGAAGGAAAAATCACCTTACACTTATTTTAATTAACCACAACGAAGAAGAGCAGCCAAGCTTTAACGTTACCTTTCAGAAGTAAGGGCATGAAGGGGATTTTCGGAGATTTCATTTTCTTGAATGCATCTCTGTAAGCTTTGTGATTCAGAGAAGGGTCCTACAAAACCATTTGGGTAATAGAGAGAAAAATCAATAGGCTATAAAAAGAGCAATTCTAAATCCATTACGGGCTTATGATCTGAACATGATTTAGATATAAAAGGTTTCTTCGGGAAACAAGGCAGATAAAGGTTTTCTAAGCTAGGTGACTTACTAAACTGAATAGGAAACATAAACAGTGAAAGGAACAAAAGCAATTACGTTCCTCTAGATGAGGCGGTGCTAAAATGGGACTAAGCTGCAGAATAGATTCACTGGGACTGCTCTGTGATTTCCCCACAAATTTCTATTAGCAAAATCTCTTCAGCTTACTATCTAGCACAAAATGTATCTCAGAATGCATTGCTGATTAATTTCTTCTTAAAAAAACCCCAAACAACACCACACCAAACAACAATAAAAAATCCTAACAAAAACTGCTCCCAGATCAATGGAGCATATTGGACATTTTCTAAGAAAATAAGAGAGTATGTTTCAGTGGTGTTATGTAAGTAATTAAAGAAGTAATCTCAATTTCCCATATAAACGAACATTTTTGTACACCAGCTCACACACAATCCTGAAAACACATTAATTATAAAGGGCTCTAAGTACAGAAGCATGACAGCCATTAAAGGCTGGATCTCATGTTCCCCGCGCCAGGCAGTGATCTCACCACGCACCCTCTTCCATGACAGCCAGAGGAAACACTTGTTTATTCAGCTTTGATAATGGTGACAAAGACCCTTAGCCTCGGATTTTGTTGGTGTTGTTTTTTTTTTAAACTTCAGCTGTCCTCCTTTTCTCTTGATCCGCAGCATGTTGCTTCGGATAAAGGCTGATTAACCACCAGAGCAAAAGAACAGTTTCTAAATCGATGCTGGGGAACGGACACTACATTCACCTCTCTCTGCCCTTCCTCCAGCTGTCAGGAATACAGCCTTTTTCCTTTTTGTGTTTGGAGACCACCTCTGAGCTCTGGAGAGCTGCGTGGCCTTTGGCAAATCACAGATCTGACATGACAAGTTCCAGCTCCAGACAATAACAGGCAGCCTCCAAATAAATTAGGAAGAAGGAAGGCAGGTAAAGACAAGCAATGCTGTTCTGCTGTCAACACCATACTTACCGTCAAACTTTCAAGTTCAGTGAAAAGTTTCTTGAACTTCCCAGGAATTTTCTGAATTGGGAAAACAGAGGAGAAAAAAACAGGAAAGTTGATTTAGGCAGAAAAATGTTGAGGCATTTTTTCCCATGAGACTGCCGTGGGTGAAGCGCCTGCTGAAAGTACCAACAGGCAGTTAACCTCCACTCCTCAGCTCCAAGAGCCCTAATTACAGACCATGTTCAGTGCAATGCCAGTGAGGCATCAGACCCTGCAGCCTTGCCTCGGGGACCTGCATCCTTCTTTTATGGAAACTGCTTGTTAGCAGATGTTTCTATTTTCTTCCCTAGCTTCCATGCCTGCTGCATTTATGTTAATATCCATATCAAGTTAGAAGCAGTAACACAGGCTGAGAATTCAGATACTGTGATCACATCCAGGTTTAATCATTTGTTGTAATCAATTTTCCCCTAAAACATGGGTTCGAGAAATTAACAGGCATCACGCTCAGTGCTGTTTGATACACCACCCCCAGTGCTGACCAGTGTTACTACTGGCACATACTGGTGGCAGAGAAAGATATCTTTCCTTAACAAATGATTATTCCACCTCTGGTATCTCATCCTAATCCCACAGGGAGGTGCACAAAGCACCTTAGAAAGGAGCCCAAGCACAAACTACCTTCTTGCTCCACATGCTATACCTGCTCTGCTCCACAAGCATCCGCTTCCTTTACCTCTAAGATGCTTTAATGGATTCACCTCATAATACTCAAAGCAATACTTCTACAGTTTGAATTTTGCTGCTGGTATTTCAGACTTGAAGAATGGTGTGTGGACCTTAAAGCCTGTCTATTTTTTCAAACCATACCAGTTCGTCTAGTAAAAGATATCCCCTCTTAGTACAAATCCTGTCTTGTCTTTGTCCTTAGACCCTGACAGCCACAATGACCGTACCAAGAAAAAAGAGATTTAGAACAATTAAGATTAAGTGGATGTGCTGTATGATTAAAATGCTAAAATAACTGAACACGGAATTGCAATTGCACATTTTTAATATCTTCAATCAGGGAAAGTTAGGCTCATTAAAACACTGCATACTGTAGAAAAAAGTAGAATATGCTTGGGAGCATACTACTTGTTTAAGAATTCAAGTGCAGAGCCAATATAATTTAGCATCTAAATGGTTGCTTAAATTTAGGTGGCTTCATTTACATGTGTAAGTAATTATAATTAATTTATAAACATTGCTCTACTTTCTAGAAGTTACATTACTAATGCAAATAACCTTCTGCTTTTGAAATTTCCAGTGCAGTAAAGTTTTACAAATAAAAAAAAAATGCATATGACTTCATAAATATTTTACACACAGAAACGTGACATATTTACAATGATACATATGCAGATGAACTCCTTGTTCTGACAAGCAATATATTCTGCTCCTCCTGAGGGAAGTCCGCCAGCAGTGCATGATCTCTAGAGGTCTCACCACACAGCAGACTCCTGCGTGTTTCTGTGCGGGAGAGGTCTACACCATTGCCACCAGGTGCCTTTGATACAATGCTTAGTCCCTTCCACTCTCCTACCAAAGCCCAGAGAAAGGAGATGAAGGCAACCTGTAAGAGCAGGCAAGGGCTAATGTTCCCTAGAGGGGCATTTTAGAAATAGGAGAGACAAGGGGTTTCTGTATCATCACCCTCAGGTATGTATTTTTGTCTAAAATTTTTGCTTGACTTGTTATTTAAAGTTAGCTCCTCCTTGCCTATCTGAGTGTCTGTAAACTCCTCCCTGCAGAAGCAGTCACTGCCCTTGCTTCTCTGACATATGCACTGATGTTTCCATATGCATGATTTCAGCGAAAGGGGAAGACTTTGCTCTCTCTGAACAGTGTTAGATAGGTTTGTAAGTCTCTGATGGCCGTTTGGTTTCAGCTATTGGTGCTCAAGAGTATCTCTAAGGCAGGAGATCACAGCTGTACTCTGTCACTTTGTATTACAGATTGATATTTTTTGAGTACTGCCCATTTGTGGTGTTGGTGGCATGGGGGAGGGATAAGGCTTCACCCCATCACACTAAATTACTCCTTCCCCAATTTTCGGTTCATCAACGGATATAGTAAGCTTGCAGATACTACCACTCAATAATTTACTTGGACGGAAAAAAAATGCCGCAATATAAACAGAGATTGCAGTGGGACCCCCCTCTAAACATCCCGTGCTCTGTCTAGCAACCGATAGCTTCTTTAGCAGATAATCTCTGTTCTCCAGCATGTTCCTTACTCGTGGCCCATTTTCTAACTTTGTTTTTCAAGATAAGCAGCTGCAAAAGAGCTGATAAATGAGAATTAAAGAGGGTTTATTTCTACTTTGTATTTTTTTTTTTAAATGAAATTATTCCATAATAAGGTATTGCTTGTTTGGAGCCACCTTTATAAGACTTTCTGTTCTGACATCTACTTAAAATGCTAGGATAATTTATCTGGGGTTTTTTTTGTTGGTTTTTTTTAAGAGGGTAAGATCCCCTTGCTTTGTTCTTATTTAAAAGCTCTGGAAGGACACATTTAGTTTTATTTTAATAGCTGTGTATATAAGGTTTCAGGTCACAGAGAAGTTTCCTCTACAGACACTCACTCCGTGTTTGATTTCAGCATGAAAAACCAATAATTAGAAAGAAAAGGTAATTCACCAGTATACAACCTTTGTGAGAAATGGTTTTGACAGGGTCTAAAAGATACAAAGATGCATCTTACCTCCCAGGTCTGAGACAGCCGGCTGACAGATGCAGTGTTGAGACCCATAACAATAGCAAAGAATGAATTCAGATTTCTTTGGGCTTTACAGCTGTGGAATAAAAAAATGAACACTGTATTCTGATTTTTTTGTACTCAGAATCAGAGACAAATGGAATGCACAGGTATCCTAGGTTACTGAGTCCCATTTCAACCCTCAGCACTAACATACAATCATCTTCCACATAATGAACTCATTAAATGTCCTCTCATGACCACCTGCAGTCTACGTGATGAGGTCTCTAAGAAGTTTTTTAGCAAATGTTCCACTGTCTCATCAACCCTGTTGTTGGCAGGTTATTCTTTTCCCTTTGCTGTCAAAAGTAGTTTTCCCTTTTCAATGTTCAAGTTACTCTCAGCTGTCCTTTACCATACAGAATAATTCCTTGACCTCTATTCTGTTGTATTATAAATATTTTCATCCCCTTTTTCATCTTTTCTGTAAATTGTACATCATTGGTTCCTTCAGTTTCTCTTTGTGGTCATGGCATGCAATCTACTTTTCCATATTGTTATTATCCTTCATTGAATTCTCCGTAATTTATTTTAACTTTTCTCTCATGTTTCCTTCTTACCAAGGAGATGTAGTGAGACAGTGGGGAGGGAAGCATAAACATAATTACTGTTTTGGCTCTAAGTTCTTACACCTTTTTCCTATGCAAATATAAAACAAATATCAAATTATTTATTTGGAACACATCACACTTTGTCTTTGCCTTTAATTTGTCATCTATTATCACCCAAGGACCTGTGTCACAGTACTGTTCTTTACAATCACGCATTCATTTCTTCAGCTCAGTATTAGCATTCCCTAGCTGAATTACTTTGCATCTATCTAAATTAAATCTTATCCTACTGTTGTTTGCACATGCCACTAGACTCCTTAGATAATTCTTTTTTTTTTCTATCCTCCAATGCATTTGCAATCCCTCATCATTTTTATTGTCTGAAATCTGATTAATGTTCAATGTACATATCCCTATAAATTAGTTGCAGTTAGCACTGGTTCCAATACAGGTCCCTACGGAATTTGCTTGATACCTCTATTCTGACATTTTACTATATACAATCAGACCCTGCTTATTTCTAGTCCGTTAGGAAATTTGAAATCCTGAAATATCGAGTCCTTCTCAAACAAAAGGATTCCCCTTTCTTGTGCAGATTCTTGAAGACCACTATAAACATACATGTGCACATGTGTGTGAGAGTGAGAATCCTCTTTTAAGACAATTTTAAGTATTAATTAATCCACTGCCTTCGCTGGGATTTATCATCAGGGAAAAGTACATGCCAAGGCCTTAGACCAGAAACTTGCCAGCACTTGTTAGAAGTTTTATAAAGCTTGCACTCATTGCTGTGTACTATCTTGAGACGGTGTATTTCTCACTTCACTTCAGCTGTCTTTAACTTTTATCCTAACTTTGTTGCTTAGACTGCTTTTATCATTAAAGTCAGGCAGCTCCCAAAGCTAATTCATTCCGAAACAAGAAAAGTGTCCAGCACAGCCTGGATAAGCAGTCTACTGGATGGGCCCATTTCTCACACAGAACTGTGGAGAGAAGGTACATCTTTTCCAGTCAGCCACTGCTTGGGAAGCAAGAAGGCTGCTATTGTAATCCATTTATTCTAACCCTATGCTGAGCTGTTTCTCTAACTCCTCAACATGTTAATTTCTAACAACATGCTAATTCATTTTCTCTGTCAAATTACTTGCTTTCTATTTTAGACTAGCTCTCCAACAGAAGCGTAGATAACTGTTTCAGAAACTCTGTCTCCCTTTTATGTATTGACACACTTGTATAAAAGCCTTCCATCTTCTTCAGGTGTTCCTCTACAGTGAGGCACACAAATGCTGAACATGAGAGTCCTGGTGCTTTGCCGACAAGCTGGAATTCAAGAGACACAGATTCCTGGCCACGTCTGGGAGCAGCGAATAGGGAGCAGCCAGAGCTGCTCACACTCCCTACCTCTCTGCCTTAGTCTATAACAAAGTATCAGGGCTGCTTGGCTTGTGCCTCATGATGAGAGTCCTGTGCTTAGCACACCATGCTTCCACCCTAATTATTCCTCTTTAATCAGCTTTTCCAGAATTTATGAGATATGATAATGTCTTCTTTCAGAAAGCTGCTTTTCCGATTAAAAAAAAGATCCCAGGCAAACTACACACTCACTTATTTGTGTATCCATTATATCACCATCTACGTAATATGATGATGGGTGCTTCTGCAGTGCACTGGAAGAGCCTGTCTACTGTTTACTGACAACTATTTAGTCTCCACAACTTTGGCTTTTCACTTAACAGAGATGGAATTAATTCAAATAGAGCAACATTTTAGTCTGGTGACAAATATATCCCTATTCATGTGGAACAGAGATGCAACTTTTCCTGGAATGCAAATTAATGCTACTGTGGTACAAGCAAGGCACACAGACCAACCGGTTTTGACGTAATTGGACCAAACTTGGCCATTGATACAGCAGAAAATGAACTTATTACTGGATACCATACAACTTGCAAACTAAGTCAAATCACATTTATGAGTTACACTAGATTAGATTAGAAGAATTCATTTCACCAAAGGCACTGCTTCAGCAGAGAATAGTCCTTTCTATGTAAGTGCCTTGCAAATTAAATCAACCCAGTCGATGAAGGGAACAAATTACACATTTTCCATGAACACGCATATTCAAATATTGCAGAAACCAACAAGTGGAAAGAGGCGAGAAGAATGGTTGCACATATTTAAATTGCTCCTTTTCCTTGGTTACTAAAATAAGGGTGATTACAGAGAAAAGAACACTCTGTGTATAGTATATATTTGTGTTCTGTTCCAAGGCATCAAGTAAATGCCAGCACTATTTAGTAATAGAATAGACTGTCAAATCTAATTAATGAAGACCCCCCCCAATAAATAAAAAAAAAAAGTACCCCAGAGAGGATTACATGGGGCAACAGCTTACTGCAGCTAGTTTCCTCTCTAGATGTAGGACTTTAAGATTTTAACAGAGTTTTTTGGTTTCCGTGTAGTCTTTGGTGAATAACTGTGTTGCTGCTCAAATAGTTTTCTAATACCATCCTCAGGTTATCTCTGCTAAGAAAGGAGGCATCTGTACCATCAGGGATTTTGCAGCTGATGCTACAGATACAGCGGCTAAGCTGCTGGGAAACATTTGAGCAGTATATACTCTACCATGTCTAGTTTTGGCCAGTGTTTGCTGTTGTTATGTATGGACTGTTTTATCTAGGTATGCTTACTACACTATTAAAACACAGGATGACAAACTGGTTTTCTTTCTTTGCTTTTGCACCTACTTCTCACCAAATAAAGCATGCAAATTCAAGGATTTTTGTTGCAACTTTAGTAACTTACTGGGCAGCAATCTTGATGAACTTTTTGACTAGCTGTACACGTTTGCAGAGCTGGCTGCAGAGGAGTATCTCGGTGGCAACCCAAAGCTGGACCTCGTTGCATCTTTGAAGCAGAAGACTAAGATTCTCAGTGTTTTCAGCACTGCCCTGTCTGCTGAACGTGAAGTATATCAGCTCTTGCTGGAAGACAATCACAATATTATTAGGGATATAAAAACAATTTAAATGTAAATGAATTATAAATTATTTAGAAGTATGTTTTTGAAACAAGACCTGGTTACAAATGGTTATTTTTTCATTCTCCATGAGCCAACCACAAATGATTCAGGGTCCAGGTTTGGCTTAGGAAAGTCTAGAGGCTTATTACAGTAGGCAGGTGGACTGGAAGTCCCGCAAGACATGCTTTTATTGTGGGATTTCCTGCAGTTCCTGTTCTGGCTACAGCCAGGTATAGGACATAAACAATCTGTCTCTCTGTATTTCATCAATTCTGTTCCAGTATGAAAAAGTAACCATATCAGACCATTGCAGAATCTGAAAAATTTCCATTCAAACTTCTTCCTAAAAAAAGACAAGTTTTCATCAACAGAGGTGTGGGTCTTAATTTCTATGAAAAAACAAAACCACTTGACCAGCTCTAGATTTAAAGTCTCTAACCTGAATAAAAGAACCTGAAATGAAAGATCAAGGAAAGCATCTGATTAGAAGCAAGGGAATTTCCCATTCATTCTTCTCAGAAAGCCAACATGCTTTTCAGTGAATGATATTTTCAAGTGACATTTTGTACTGTTAACTGTGTATTTTACTCAGCGGCAAACACCAGAACCTATCAAAGTCACTGAAACAACCCAGCGGGCACTGAAGTGGGCCATTATCCCATTTTGTGAAGCCTGCCCAGTATTTTTTATCTCACTGAAGCATAGCAAGAACAGTAATGCGACCATCTAAATTGCTGAAACTGTGAATTCTTTTGTGGTTAAAGTGATATCAAGGACGCCTATTTGTGGAGTCTTATATTTACAGAACATTATCAAATGCAAAGGACAATTTGCATATATAACATACTCACACAGACAGTTTTTAGAGAATAATCATGCTCTTCTACTCTCTCGAAGCAAATCTCAATATAACCCACCAGGTATACAGGGAACATATGAGACAGCCCAGCACAGGGAAGTTACAAACCTTTGACAGATTTTTTCAGTATCAAGGATTGTGACACATCTCTTGGACCCGGACTCTATGCCACCACTACTGAGCTGCCAAATCACGCTGTCATGACGGTGAACTGAGCACCAAGGAATACTGATGCTCCAAAATGCATCATAGTGGCACAACGCTGCATGAGAGTAATATACCTGGAAGTGGATACGGTGCTACTTACCTCATGAATTGCATTGAAGAGGCTCCAGTCAAAGTTTGTTAGTTCTAAGGCAAGATCCCAGGTGTTGATTCCCAAAATTCTCACAGACCTTTGCTGCAATTCCTCATTTTCAGCAAATGGGTTCTAAATCAATAGCCAAGAGCAAAAAAATCCTCAGCAAATGCGAAAAGTTCTGCAGTGAAACAGCTACTGGACCAAGGTACCAAACAGACCTAAGTAATCTTCTCTAAGTGCACTCTGAGGGTTTTTTCCCCCCACTAATCAAAATCAAGGAGTTATAGCCTATTTAATAAATAGTTTGAAACAGGAAATGGGTCAATACGATCATTGATTTGCTATTGGATTAGGCCTTCTCCCTCTCTCTCTCTTTCTCTAAACCTTGAATATAAAACAATGACCAAGCAGGCGGCATAATGAAAATAAAATCCCTGAAACCATCAGAAAACAAAATCTGAATTAGGACACTGGGAAATTTTTGTATTATAAGATAAAGGAATCATTCTGCAAACATAGGGGATTTAGAATAAATACATACTACTTGCCCTCCAATCCACCTTTACAAATAACATAAATCCATACATTTTATGATTAATCTACTCCAAATGTAATCACCAACAAACAGTAAACCACTGTGGGTCCTGATTCATAGAAGTTACTTAGCATATTACTGTGGAGTGTACTGGTACTGCTGATGTTAAGGGTCATTTGACATTTCCTTTATTAGCTCAGATTTTCAAAGGTTTGCATTTCTCTTGGGTTTTTTTTACCTCATCAGGCTGAAACTTGGCACATGAACCATCTGCCAAGATGAAAGATTATTCTTATCAGTCAAGCCATTACTTTGGTGCTATATTTCTGACAGTTACAGCAAGTTTCACAATTTTTATTATGTAACTAATGAAACTAGATTGGCTGTCACCTGTCTGCACTGGAAACCTTCCCTTAATATTCGCGTTTTTAGAGGTGGCTAGAACACCGGAGATAATGGGGATAACAGATTACAATGATAGCAGCATGTCAGCTCTTCGGGGCACATTGATCCAACAAAATGTAAATAGACATTTCTCATCCCTAGGATGAATGCACAGATCCTAGCAGTACTGACATCATGTAAAAGTCAGCTGTGATACTGTCCCTGTGCTTTCCTTGAAACATCTGCATAATTAGCAGAAAACTATTGAAAGAGTAATTCTTTGAGCGCCTGACTGTTCCTACCTCACTGAGGTTTTGGGAAATCATAGGGGGAAAGAGTTTGCAGTCCTGGTTTCTGAGGACAGAGGGAATGAGGGAGACCTGCTGCCCTTCAACTTGCTCCCCTCTCCAGCACCAGTGAGAGGATGGAGAGACAGACAGAAGGAAGGGAAGACGACACACTACCAGCAATATATGCCAGCCACAGACTGACCATGGGGCTGCCACAACACTGGGGTCACACTGATACCCAGTAATTCTGCTAGAACTCACACAACATCTATTTCTACATGTAGTAATTCCACGGAGTGTGTCCATCACCTCATATGATTATGCACCAGCCACTTTAAGTGTTACAGAGGCACAAGGGCGGGAGGGAAGAGTCACACGGGCCCTGAAGAATAATCCTTATCCCATCCAGTCCTGTACAAGCACAGGTCAGGCTGATGTAGATTGAAAGATTTAAGCCGCACAGAAGGTTTGGTCCATTTGAAATTGATGAACAAATTCCATTACTGTTCAGTCAAACAACTGCTGTTAATGCAAGATACTTTTTTTTCAGGTATAGAGCCGCTCAGTAAGCTTTACTAAGTAAGCAAAAAATAAATTCTGTATTGAAAAAGCCCTCTGAAAGGAATATTAAGTTCTTCATCTGGAGTCAGACAAATAAAAAATGGGAAGTATACAATACAGATCCTTACCAAAGAATCAGTCAGATCTTTTCGATAGACAAACATACGACTGGAGGTCTCGAAAGATTTTGAGATAGCCAAATCATTTGGCTGTAGTTCATGTTTTTCTGTAAAAACAGAAAACAAAACACAAAAGCCTCAGAAAAGGAGTAAAAGCTGTATATAAATATGAGAAAAACATTACAAATATATTTGTAAAGCCACATCAGCTTCTTAGAATGGAACTAAGCATCAAATCCAGTCCCTATTGGGACGATCATCTCCACACTATTCAGGCACAATAAAGGTGAGATGTCTCTGATGCTGGACTAGAGCACAAAAACTTCCAGCATCTGCTTCCAACCTGGACTTCACATAGGATAGAATGGAAAGAGATCCTTGAATCATCTATTCTAACCTCCTATGCATTATAGAACATTTCACTTCAACCCAGCGCATCTACTGTAAATGTAGCGACTTTTGCTAGAGCAAAGTGTCTCGGCCTCCAGAGACTGAGCTGCTGCATGTCACTGACAGACAAGAGCAGGGGTGGAGATGTCATCAGTAGCTACGGCCATCTGACAGGTGAAGAATTTTAAAGAATCCCAGCGCCACAAAATTCACCCCATGGAGCAGAGTTGAAGAGTCCTTTATAGTACGGTATTTACAGAAATCCCTGTAGACCTAGAGTAATTCATTTAGAAAACATCTGAGTAAAAGAGCAGGACACACTAAACTGGTAGCAAAGAGAAAGGACGTTTTTTGCCTCCACTCCAGAGTACTGGTTCAGCTCTGGGCAACCTTGGATGCTGCAGAGAAAGGTGTGGGGAAAAATAAAGTAAAACCCAGGACACAGCTAAAAAACTGCCCTGGGAAAACTGTCTCTTCCTGTGGGCTCCAAGTAATCTTCTGGAGACCTGACACATGAGATCTGATTACAGTGACTGTATTAATGTTGACCCAAAAGCACTCCAAGTATGTTGACAGCTACCTTGGACTTTTCATTGCCCATGAGGGAGGAGTAGGACCAGGAGGAGTCTGAAAGCCAAACATCATTTCAGACTGTTCTCCCTTTTATCCATGCTCATGCTGACACCAGATACATTTATGTTGAACTACCAGTATGTTTTTTTAAGGTAATTTTGAATAAAAAGAGCTTGCTTGTTCATTTCAGAAGTACAATAAAAATGTTTTCTCCAATGCTTACACTGCTGCCCTCCAAGTGGAGGGCAGATGACAGTCCTGAGTCATGCAAATAGCAAAAAAAACAAAGGGGAAAAAAAAAAGAGGGTGGCAGGCTGGTCTTTATTGCTTGCAGCACAGGAGTGACAATGTATAAGAACAAAGATACTGAAATTGTGGTACCTCCAATTAATTCAGGCAACGTGACTAAATAACATTTTAGGGGTTACAATGGTCACGTACAAATGACAGTCCTATTGTACCTGCATTTTAATTGTTGTTTATTATTGAACAGCCAAGTGGCAACCACTTCTATTCTGTGGCTTTCTTGGGAACCAATGTGGTCTAAAGATAATAGTGTGTTTCATTATTTATGAATTGTTGGTTTTCTTTAGCTAAGTAGGCAGTTAGCACCAGATTTATTGCTATCAGAGCAAAACTTGCCCTGCTCTTGAACAGCAGCGAAAGATCTGAAAAACAGCAGCAGCACAGTGATTTTGCAGTGCTGTAAAATGCACTGGAGGCGAGTTTGGGCACACACAAGGGTAAAAAGAGTATGCCTGCAAATGATGTAGCCCAGCTGGCCAGGACACCTACGTGTAATGCTCCCTACATGTGGCCGCTCTGTGCCCAGGCTCTCAATAGCCAGAGCAGGACACCATCTCCCTGCCACCCACACCAGTGCCCTGCAAAAAAATGGTTATTTAATTGAGCTTGGTGTGGGGGAAAAAAATGTGACCTTCCAATTCTGAATCAAATAAACTAACAGAACAATCCAGCATTTGCGTACATTTAATTTAACTAGACTGAGAAAGAAGTAGCAATGAGTGCTATATCTCTGAGAGTCCATCCTTTGTCCCAGGGGATCAACACCAACTAATGTTATCTGAGGATATGACCAAGATATTCTACACTCTTAGCACCTTTTTGTAAAGTCAGCTTTGCATTTCTGTGCACCTAGTTAAATTGCTTCCTTTATATTCCCTAAGAGCCAAAAGACTCCACAATGAGCAACACAATCTGACCAAAGAGCTTGAGACCTGCCAGACACCAAAGAAAATCTTGGGGGTTTGGCTGGTCCCTAGTATCAGCCCATGATCAGTCTGGTCTTCCTTAAAAAAAGACAATAAGCCTTTCTGTTCAATGAGAAACACTAAAATAATAGCCAAAAAATGTCAGTTGTAAGCAAGACTTCTTACAAAGTACTGCTTAGATTGCTCACAGTATTTCAACTGTGCAAATATATGTCTCTCTCTTTCTGCTGGAGAATATTCATTACCCATGCCATAAACGAGGAAACAGCCACACATATAGTATTAGTTATTCTCTTTTATATTTTTAAAGCAAACCATGCCTCATCGCCTTCCAAATTAATTTAAACACGGAAGTAGGAGATTTATCTGTGGGGAAAAAATAAAATCTTGCAGTGCTGCTGGAGACAAGAGTCCTTTACAATCCCTTCCCAGCGAGGAGATGCCGTATCCGATGGTACCCAAGAATGAGCTGTTGCCATGGAAACGACTCTCTGGGAAGCAGCTCCTCATTGTTCCCATGGTCATCCAGCTGTGGGCTTGCACAGGAACAGCTGTATCCTCGCACCAGAAAATGTCAGCCCTCCCTTACGTGATGTACTAAAAGGTAAGTAATCATATGAAAGGAAGTTATTTACCACCAGAGAACGTGACTGTCACCAGTGCCAACTCCTCCTCCGGGTACTGGATCTTTTCTGCTACGATCTTCAGTATCTCCTGAGCTGAAGTGGATACTTGAGCTTTCACACTGACATAGGAGTGCTCTGTTATATACACACGGCAGAAAACTGCACAAAGGAAGAAAGACACGCTCAGCGGTAGGCAGAGACACCTGAACAGAGCAGGAGATGATCTTGCAGACCCGACCATGGCAATGCCTCGGCTGCCTCGCTGCTGCGGCTGGCTGCGGCTGCAGGAAGGGCAGCTGCTGCACCCTGGCCCACAGGGACATGAAACTAAGCATAAACGTCACCGTTTACCCCCTTCTCACCTCCTCTCCCTGAGAAATGAGAGGGGCAAGCAAATGGAAACAGAGACCCCCACAGCAATACCTACTTAAGACTTCCTACTGTGAGGATTTGTCACAGACAACCTCCTCTCCTGCCTATCTTCTTTGCAAACTCAGCTGTTGCCATCTTTTCTCCCTTCCTTTTAGGGTCAGATAAATCACCGTCCTTTCAGTACATTTCATATCCGCTGCAGAAATTATTTTGGACCTCCACTTCCACCTGGAACAGGAGGCTTTGCAAAAACAGCGCTCCCCAGTCTTCATCCACTCCAGCTTATCTGTCTAGACATCTAAACTACTTGCACTGCCAGAGTATTTTAGCACCAGTAGAGGCTGCCCAAAGAGCAATGCAATTAGTTCTGACAACTCCTTCCCTGAATCACTTGCAGCACACATAAAAGAGACTGGTTTGGAGAAATTCCCTGGGCTCATCACTTCCACTGTAGCCCATGAGTGGGTTCGGCTCTGGGAGGGAGATCCCCAGCAGTAACGTTGTGGTCAACTCAGCTAGTACTTTGTTTCTGGTACAAAAAGGGATGTATGCTCTTCTCAGCCTGCCAGAATTTTAGGTTTACATCTTTTGCCAAGTTTGCCGTAGCCAGTTCTTTGAAATACAGCTGCCATCCTTAAAAGGGAAGAAACAGAGCTGCAGACTTGCATAAATATTTCAAAAATTACAACATCTGCTAATAAGAATTGCCACAACTCTTGGCTTCATACTCACTTCAGTACTTAATTAAACTTTCCCTTTCCTTCTAGTCTAGCACTTCTTATTGTAGACAGGCTGCTACCACAAGACAAAACTTTAGTCTCCAGAAATGCTGTATTTTTTTAATTAATTTTATTGACAGTTGTATGTAGCAATAGCTCTTTGCTTGTCCTACAAATCTTCATGGCTTCAGGGCACTTTCATTAACTGAGACCATGCCAGAAGCAGTTAAGAACTCTGTCCTCAAGAATATCTTTTTTGTGTGTTGTAGTAAAGAAAAAATGAAGATGAGAAGGAAGGAGGAACTTAACATTTAGCCTTGGGGAAGAAAAGTGATTTGATTTTATAATTTTTTCTTAACCTGTCTCTGCTGACAGACAGTAAATCAGATGCTCATCCTATGGCAGAATCTCACTTCAGAATGGATATAAGTCATGAAAAGATAGAGACATCAAATTGCACGCTAAATTACTAGGTAGAAAAATAAATTTTAAAAAAGCTGACAGGAATATTTGGACTCCATATGCAGAGTGCGACACAAGTTGCTTACAGCAAATTTGTTTGAAATCTCCTCCCCTCTGTCATTTGGGAGGGGACAATGACAGCAATGCTAATTTATAACTGGGCTATTGACATATCCTTTGTTTAACATTGAACTAAGCCAAGCCACAGGTCAGGTCCTCAAACACAACCATCATACTGACTCTCCCAAAGCCTGTTCCCCATGCACCTTTCCAACGTTGTATCTGCGGTATCTATTGGCATGGATGATGCCACCTCTTCAGCAGCCCGTGCTGCTCCTCTGTGAGGTGCAGGAGGGAATGCCAGTGGGAGGAAGCGGCCATGGGCTGCAAGTTGCCCTCGTAATGCTTACATTAGGAAATAAAATGCTTCCAGCCAAGTGGCATGGTGTGGCTTGGACTGACCCATCCTCCACAAGCACTATCGGTCAGCAGCACTCCACCACACCAACTTAGATGTCCACCCTCATCATCCGTCTCTCCTCTCCCCGACTCCACTGTTGTTATTTCATTTCCTCAATCCCATCATCTTCTGTGGTTCATGCTCTCAAGGAGTGAGATAAAAGCAATTTAGCAGTCGGGTTGGCCTTGCTGGGTACTGCCCTTCCTGTCCCCACAGCCACACTGTCTATCCCCTCTCTTGTGCCAGCACACTTCCCTCCCCACTTATGTATGAGCTGTGTCCAACTTTTTAAGAAGAAGAATGAGTGTGAGGGTTCTCATCCAGAAATACTATTTTTAGAAGCAGCCTTGATAACATAAACCTCAAATAAACTTATACTTGAAGCACGGAAAAAGGATATCTATCAGTGCGGAAAGACTTGGCATTGAAGGAGCTTAGTTTTTATTCTGTCACAAATGAGCACTAAAAATATACTGACTCCAAGTGAACTTCCGGAGTTTTGTTCCCAGTGAGAAACAAAGATATCATCAAAGGACGAGACTTCCAGGTAGGAGGACCTTCTGCCTGTTCGCTGCTTGTGTGCATGGTGTTATCCTCCTCTCCGCCTCCTTCCTCATGCAGGCATTACAGGAGGGTGACTGCCTCACTGTGTTACTGCACCAGCAGCGATGAAGGGAAATTGCATTTTGAAACGGTTGACATTAAAGTGAAGTGGCACCTTGCACTCCACGCGGAGACATTTTCAAGGAGAGAAGGAACTAAGGCGGGTTCCCAGAGCTAGCAGATCCTGGCCCATTTCATGTGACAAGCTTATTCATTCACCCTTCACAACCAAGATCTAGGTCAAAAAATGGAGAGCATGAAATGGAGCAGGAATTACGCCTGGTGGATGGGCTGCCAGCACTCCTGGGAGGCACACAGCTCTGCTACAGGGCTGCTGGAGGAACTGGACAGGGCAAAAATCCCTTGAGATACCATGTCACTGTTGAACCTCTGCAAAGCAGGAGGTAGGAAGGTAACCTTACACAGTCCTATCTTTCTTCTTTTGTAGCCCTAAGGTCCTGTTCAGAAGCTGTATGTCAGTTAAAAAAAATTTACATTATGGGCAGCCCTTGAGAAACAATTTTGCAGTTTTGGAGTTTTTCCTCCACTCTTTCAATCATACTTACTTTCCTCTGTTTCATTCATGGTTCCTCTGTGCTGCAGCCAGTTCTCCTTTAGACTGAACTGATGGAAAAAAGTTTTATTCTGTGAGGGAGTGGGAGAAGGAAAAAAAAAAAAAGACAACAGTGATTCTTTGCATCCCTGCCCTTTACAAAGCAGTAATTCACAGAACACAGCATTCAGCCCATACATCTGGCCAAAAAGGTTTCTGTATAGGAAATCCACCCACCCTTTCTTGGGCCAGTAAACTGGGAGTTGCCTTACTAAATAATGGCCAAGGTGGGGATTTTGTAGGAAGCAGGACATGCCAAGGCTAAGCAGCCTGCACAATTCAAGGTTCTCTGTAGTCATGTTCAGAGCCCATTTCTTATACACTTATTCTTATATACGTTTCCTATGTATCAATCAGCCTATTTAGCAATTTCACTACAATCTCATGTTCTGCCTTCCACGTTTCCACAGTAACACTTTAAGCTTATTACACACTTCAGCTTCAGCCCAGTAAATTTGACGAGCACAGCAGTTCACCTCTGTGCAGTTTGTATGCCAACTTTCTCCGGCTGCGTCTTCTCCCTCCGGTTAAATAGACAGATTCATGTTCCTCACTTCCTTTCTCTGTCTCCGTCACAACAAATCCCCCCTTTGCTCTGTCTACTTGACATCCATGTCAATGCCGGTGCTCAGCCTGGTTTGCCCAGGTTGCTACATCTCTCCAGCCCGGCGGGGACACGCTCCCAGGCCTTCCTCCTGAATTCTGACATCTCAGAGCATCTTGTTAAGATGCTAATACTGTCACAGCCACTGCAGGTTAGCTCACACAGCTGATATATCCAGGCTGCACTGGCAGGAAAATAAAAGTTCCTTAAGCAACATTGCAGATCTAACCTCACTGATGTATCCTGTCATGTTTTTGGCCACCAGTCACTTTCAGCTGAGAAGCCAAGAAAAGAGAGGGAAGTGGGCAGAGGGGAAGAAAGTGAGATTGTAAGTTATTTAGCAACCAGCAACAAATAGGTTTACATTACCTTCCGGTGAGGTGAATACTCATCTACAGTGCTGAAACAAAAAGGAAAAACCAAATTATTCCCTCCAGCCAAAGCTTAGGAAAAGGAAGTTTTAGCTTTTACAAAGTTTACAATATCAGAAAGTTTTTAACGTTAAATGGTCACCACAGAATGGCTGCAGAGCTACCTCAGGGAAAGTTAAGGGTGTCTGGCTCAGCCAGAAAACTTTTCTGTAACTTGCACAATCGATGTAGTGAAAAGCAATGCTCCCAGCCCGTGAGCTGCCAGAGAACACGGACACAGCTTAGGCCCCAGGGGTAAGCAGTGAGGGTCACCCTTGGGGACACAACTCTTTCCACTTCCCCAACAGCCAAACCACGGAAACAAACTCCATTTGTTGGAAAAACATGCCAAGGAAATATCTTTTACAAATACCATAATTATAAACATGCCAAGGAAATATCTTTTACAAATACCATAATTATTAGTAAAATAATAACCCTGTGATGACTATTACAAGAAATTTGATTCTCAGTACTGCAGATTGCAGAGAGAGAATGAGTATGAAGGTACCATCTGACGATGTCACAGACTGCAGCTTCTGAGGGAAATTTTGCCAGCTTTTCCACAAAGTATCACTCTACTTGTAAGTCATCCCAACCAAAACTGATGGGAGTGACTGCTGAACCACACACACCACCCAACAAAATCAGAGAAGACTGAATAATCTAGGTTTAGTTTAAGGAAGACATGGTTTGTAAAAATGAATATAGTACTTGTATCACTCATCACTTTACAGCAAGATGACAACAAAAATAAATTACACTCTAAATTAAAGGAGACTTGATCACAAATATAATCAATACTTACTGACGACGATGCATCCCAAGTATCTTCTGAAATTCTTTCAGGTCCTTCTCAAGAATGGGATATTCGTACACATCATCTAACACATTCCTGTATATCGTCTACAAAATAAAACAGTATCAGCAAACACCTGATAACTCAAACATAAATCTAAGGCATCACATCAGTGGTCTAAATCTATTCAGGCACTAGTGTACTAAAACAAATTTCATCATATTTTTACAAGACCCATAAGGAGAGAATGTTCCTGTTTAAATTTCCAGACTGGTCAATATTCAGCTCGCCTTTGGAGAAACACTCTTTGCATCATCACCAAGTGAGAGGGCAAAATGTTGACACACTTTTGTCTACTAACAGGAAGATTTTAAATAACACTTCTGGCTGTTACATGAAATCTGCGTTAGGTCAGAAGAACACATTCTGAAGCATGAGAACACACCACACCATCATCACTTATACAAAACGATAACAAACAGGTTCATTTGATTAAGACTTTTTTAAAAAGGAGAATGTTCTCCTTCACTTTTCCTAACATTTGCATGCATTTTAAATTGAGTTGATGTCTCTCACAAACAAATAACATCATACTCCTAGTTGTAAACCAATAAATAAACAAATAAACCCTACTTCTTATTTTGGGGGGAGGCATTGTCTGAATATTATCAATCACGAACCTCAGTTACATGTAAAAGACACTACTACCTCAGATAAGAGGTAAACAAACTGAATTGGCTTTCATGATTGAAATTGCTGGAAATATTTTCTCTATACTTTCTCAAAATCTGCACATAGATCCTTGTCTTTCCCTTCCAAGAAAATTAAGATCATATGTATGAGCTGAGTCATCAGGTTTGCTTTAGCCCAATTAACACACTTACATTTCTGAATTTCAGCATGAATGATTCTGGCCTACAATCCTATATATTGTTTTTGCACGTATAACTTCAACCATCATTAACATTACTGCTGTTCAATATTGCACAGAAGCCTCAAGCAGAGAAACTGTGACAATACACAGTCACACACCTCCATGGCCAGAAAGACAAGCCCTGCATCAAGGTAGGTGCAACGCAGTGAAATCTAACTGATGGCTGGGATAATGCCCCTTTCCAGTACATGCATCTAGTACCAAACAGCAAAAGTCCTAAGGTCTCTGCTTCCATATGCAGTGTGTCCTACTGCAAAAAACAAAACAAACCCCCAAAAAAGGCAGCTTAAGACTTTCTCCAAATTTAGTTCAATGTTTCATCCCTTTGTCTTAGGCAAAGGACTGAAGAGAACTAAAAGGCCCTTAAGATCTCCAGTTGCAGAGAAAGAGTCTCATCAGGAAAGGTGGAAGATCCTGCAAAGTCTCCTAAAATAGTTTCATCTTTCAACCGGGGCTGGGGGGGGGGGGGGGGGGGAGAGCACCAC